TATATATCTGCAAATAGGAATAGTTTTACTTCTTCCTTACCAGTTTGGATGACTTTTATTTTCCTTTCTTGACTTATTGCCCTGGCTAGGACTTCCAATACAGTGATCCTTAGAAGTGGTGATAGAGGACACCCTTGTCTGGTTCCCATTCACAAAGGGAATGCTTTCAGTCTCTCTCCATTGAGATTGATGTTGGCTGTTGGTTTAGTAGAGCAGTTCACAGTGAATTGGACTGGTATTGGCCACAATCTATCATTGGTACAAGTTGTGGCCCTCACCCTGCAGGTGGGGCTGCAGGAGGTGCAAGTACAGCTGGGTCATGTGGGCATGGTTGTTTTCTCCTACTCAGTTAGACAAAAACACAAACACCAAAAATTTAAAAACAAATGAACAAAAAACCCACAAACTGCATAAACAAACAGCAACAATTGCAAAAAAAAGAAAAAAAAGAAAAGAAAAGAAAGAAAGAAAAGACAATGAGAAGAAAAAGTTTTAAAAAGAGTAAAGAAAGGTAAAAAGAAAAGAGCTCACAATATCTGAGGATGGGAACATAAGAGAAAAGAGCAAGAGAAAAAGAATAAAGAAAAAAAATGAGAAAACTGCAAAAAAGGAAAACAAAGGTTGGGAAGAACCAAAAGAAGAAAAGAAAAAAAAAAAAAAGAAGAAGAAGAGAACAAGCAAAATGGAAGAGGAAAAGAAAGAAATAACCAGGGAAGGGAAAGAGGAAAAAAAAGGAAAGGAAAAGAATTAAAAACAAAACTGGGGGGGGGGGCAGGGAGGGTGCACAGGGCACCCAGGCTCTGTCAGAGCACACCGACTGGGATGGAATTCCTGCCAGTCCTGAATGTGGGTGGAGGTGAGGGATGGCCACACCTCCATTCAGCAAGAGGGTGTGGGGTACAAAAGTAGCAAGAGGAATATTGCACCTTTCTAGTCATCAGCCTCCTGTGCAGTTTTCCATGCTACCCTCTACAAGCAGAGCCTATTCTTAGGTTGCTGCCCAGATCAGAACACCATTTGTAAGTGTTCAAAATGGTCATGCCTTCAGGACAGCAGTCAGTCCACAGCTTCATTTGTCTCATTACTCATTGTTTTCATTTAGGTTCTTCTTCTAGTTGGTACTTAGTCCACTTTTTTATCCTTTCCTTCAAAACTCAGGGTTCCAGGATTACCTTCTGTATCTGTTTCATTTGATTTCTCATTTCTGTATTGCAGAGGGCCTGTATAGCTTGTCTGCCTATTCTGTGAGAGAGCATACACAGCCCTTCTATTCTCCCATGATTGATCTCTCCAAGGAGTGTATCTATCTAATGTAAAGGTTCAGCTCATATATCTGTCTTTTGTTTGGCTGGAAGCCAAAGGAGTGGGTTCAACTCCAGACCTGAAGTGCAGCTAGGGGCCATAGTCTCAGGGGTTCCATCAGGCCAGCAAACCTGGTCCCTTTTTTTTTTTTTTTTTTAATGATTTTGAGTATTGTTCCACATTGTTCTCTCACTCTCCAGGATCTCCTGCATAGATCCCCCTCCAAGTGGTTGACAGTGGTAGCTGGGCACCATCTAGTTCTTCTGGTCTCATAGTCATATAGGCTGAGGAGTGCATGGTGTACAAGTCCTTTGGACTAATTGTTTCCGTGCATCTTCAGGCTTCTTCATTATTCTTTGCTCTGGATGAGGAGAGACCCATCATTGCATCTAGATGGCCACTTCCAAGCTTTTAAGATCCCAGTCAACTCATCAAAGTAGGATGTGGAACAATGTTTTTCTGTAGTATCTTATGCCAATTGAGCTTGATGTCCCCTGTGACTATGGTCCCAAGCCCACAGGTCCAACTATATACTCCCTCTGGGTAGCTGGCTGTGGCCAACAAGTGACTACAACCTTGTCCCTTGTCAGCTCTACTATATACCTGGGAATTTTTACAGAACATACCAATACACTTGTAGAAACATTGTCTGGCAACCCTATACATGGTCTTGGGTACACTCCCACCTGCACAGACATACCTAATAGTTCAACCTGTCCATCCATCTATCCACCTGTAGATCAATGTTTGCCTTCACTGACAACACAGTACTGTGTATGCAAAAGGGTTCATCTTTGTTGTCTGTACCTCCCATGCACCTTTCTATATCTTCCTCTTCTCAATGCCACCATGTTGATCACTCACATTTGGTACACTGCCCTTCTCTTCACCCAAATCAATACTTGTCCCTACCTATCTAGCAGTGTTCCCTCCCCTCCCCTTTCACCCCTGGTAAACAGCAAAGAAAATTTCCTTCCATATATAAACCTTTCCTTGACTTTTTACAATAACAGACTAATACAATATTTGTCCTTCTGTGATTGACTTATTCCACTCAGGATAATGTCCTTCTAGTTCATCCATGTCATGTGGTGTTTTTCCAATTCTACGTTATTCTTTAGGTCCACCCCATAAAATTTTAATGCCACAGTATACTATACATCTGTTTATGTGCTATGTGTGTATGTGTACATATTTTATACAAAATACAATAAGACTTGTTCGCACCTCTCACCCAATAACCAATTTTCACCTCTTGGGAGGGGTGTAGGAGTATGGTGGTATTATGGTTAAAGTTTGGGCTGCTAACCAAAAAGGTTGGTAGCCCAAACCCACCAGCCACTCTGCAGGAGAAATGTGAAGCAGTCTGCTTCTATAAAGATTTATAGCCTTGGAAACCCTATGGGGGAGTTGTACTTTGTCCTAAAGGGTTGCTATGGGTCAGAATCAATTCAGAAACATTGGTTTTTGTTGTTGTTTATTTGTTTTGGGGAGAAAATGTGTGCAATAATGCCCTCCTTGAGAAAACAAGCTCTTCAAAAAAAAAGAACAGTTACCATCAAGTTGATTCCAACTCACAACAGCCCCATATAATCCTGCCTCAGTCCCTTGGTGATGCAAGTGCTTAACACATTCGGCTGCTAACCAAAAGCATAGGGATTCGGGTCCACCCAGAGGCACCTTGGAAGAAAGGCCTGGTGATCTCCTGAAAAATCAGCCATTCATAATGCTATGGAGCACAGTTCTGCTCTGACACACACGACTGCACCGTGAGTTGGAGTCCACTTGATGGGAACTGGTTAGTCCTGCCTCAGTTCAATATTGTTGTTATTAAGTGCCATCAAGTGAATTCTGTCTGTTGGGACCCCATAAGGCAAAGTAGAATGGCCCTTTAGGGATTCTTAGGCTGTAATCTTTACAGGAGCAGATAACCCGGTCTCTCCCCACCCCAGATGCTAGTGGGTTCAAATTGCCAAATGTTCAGTTAGCAGATATGTGTTTAACCATTAAGCCACCAAGACTCCTTATATATGTAGATAAACTGCTTAAAAAGGGGTAAAGCCATGGATGTGAAGGAAAAAGACCCTAAAACACACAAGTATACATGCTAATCATTATTCCCAGTGCAATAAAGTTGTGTTTTATTAAATCTTTGGAATTGACAACATTTGATAAAGTAATGAACCAAGGAATGTTTTGGAAAACAGCTGTTAGCAGTTGTGTCCAGACCAAGCCAATGGAGCAAATATTCTAACTAAACTTTTGTGAACAGTGGAGATTAATGACATTGCTATTCCAACTGAACCGAAAATATCCCCAGAATGCAAACAGAATAATTACAAATAAGTAAGTAAAATAGAAAGAAGGAACTGTGGGATCAAAAGCTCAGAGGAGTGGGAAGCCAGGTATCAGTAGTTTACTGGAAGGGCTCTGCCAGTACATGGAATACATATTCTTATCTAGTTGGCAAGATTCCTGGTACATAGTCACCTAGATTTTATCATAACATGATTGCCTAATAGTATATAGTTTCATTATGTAAATACGTGCTCAAAGAGATTTTATAACAGTATTAAAAAAAAAAAAATTCAAATATCTGACCAGAACTCATCAAGGGTCATGAAAGACAAATAAAGACCAAAGAATGACCCAGATTGGAGGAGAACAAAGACACATGACAATTAAATGCAATGTGGGATCCTGGATTGGATCCTTCAATAGGTAAAGGACATTACTGGAAAAACTGTTGTTGTTGCTGTTAAGTGCCACTGAGTCGGCTCCAACTCACAGCAGCCGGATGTATAGCAGAACGAAACACTGCCTGGTCCTGTGCCGTCCTCACAATCCTGGCATGGAAAATGTAGGGAATTCCACATAAAGTCCATAGTTTACTCAGGAGTACTACTGAAAAAATAAGCAATTGGTGACATATAGGGAAAGCTGGACAGAGAGGAATGCATGGATAAGAAGGGCACAGGGAAGGGGTAATCACGGGGAGGAGAGCTTTTTATGGGTGGGGATTGTAATCAGGCCGTGAAACTAAATGTGTATGAACTGATGAGCGTAAAACAACTCTGCTTTGTAAATTTACACCCAAATCACAATAAAAAAAAAAAATTAAAGAAAATAATAAGCAATTGGACAGCAATGGGTTTTCAATATTATTTTAAAACCAAAAACACCACTTGCTGTCAAGTTGATTCTAGCTTATGGAAATCTCATATGTTTCCAAGTAGAATTGCACTCTGCAGGGTTCTTAAGGACTATGATCTTTTGGAAGAAGATTGCCAGGCTGTTCTGAGATGCCTCTGGGTGGATTTGAACCACCAACCTTTTGGTTAGTAGCACTTCATTTGAGCCAGCCAGGTACTTGAGTCATATTATTCCAATGTTAATTTCTTCCTTTTAGGCATGATTTCTTGATTCTGTAAGATGTTAACATTAGGGGAAGCTGAGTGAAGGGCAGATAGGAACTCTCTGTACTATCTTTGCAACTTTTCAGTGAGTCTAAAATTATTTCTAAACAAAAAGTAAAAGAAAATACCATCAGTTTCTTTACTTCAAAAAAACACACACTTGACTGACAGCACTGCAGAGGAATGCTGGGAGTCTGGAGCATATATTGGTGTCATGAGCAGCTCTGGAATCAGACACAAGAGTAACCCCTTTGTCTTTGTCTCCTTCTGATTCTATCACAGGGTGTGTTGGGTACATCATGTGACCGGGATGTGGGTGTACCCTTTCCTGGAACATATTGGCCCAGGAGCCAGAATCATCTTCTTTGGGTCTACAACCATCTTAATGAATTTTTTGTACTTGCTGGGAGAAGTTCTGAATAACTACATCTGGGATACACAGAAAAGTAAGTATTGTTCCCATAGAAAACAAACTCACCGCCATCAAGTTGATTCTGACTCACAGAGACTCTATAGGACAGAGTAGAACTGTCCACAGAGTTTCCTAATCTTTATGAGATCCGACAGCCTCATCTTTATTCCACAGAGTGGCTGGTGGGTTTGAACCAGTGACCTTTTGGTTAGCAGCCAAATGCCATAACCACTACAGCACCAGAGCTCCTGAAGGAAAATTTCACTGTCGTCTCTTCTTTTGTCTTGAACACAGGATCACTTATGGAGAGCTTCATTTTTACAACAACAATATTAATTTAAGAACTGCTGGCAGTTACCTGAAAGATTTAGTACTCAGTTAGTTGTATTAGCTAGTAAAACATTCAAATCCAGGAAAAAAAAAGTGTATCTATTAACTTTTATAGAGAGAAATACAGAGTTAACAGAAAAAATATTTAGCTAGTACTCACTGGTTAACAGAATGCTGCCTTACTTAGCTAAACAAAGAAAAAAAAAAAAAAAAAACCCAAACCATTGCCGTTGAGTAGAATTCCAAATCACAGTGACCCTATAGGACAGAGTAGAACTGCCCCATAAGGTTTCCAAGGCTGTATATCTTTTTGGAAGCAGTCTGCCCCATCTTTCACCCACAGAGTGGCTGATGGATTAGAACCACTGACCTTTAGAAAAACAGGAAAAGCGCTTTAAAACTGAGACATCAGGGCTCCTTACATAGCTAAAAACCAAACCAAACCCACTGCCTTCTGGTTGATTCTGAATCATAGAGATCCTGATAAGGCTGTAAATCTTTACGGAACCAAACTACCCCATCTTACTCCCACAGACGGCCTGGTGGATTAGAACCGAGGACCTTTTGGTTAGCAGTTCAATGCTTGTGATTAAACATCACCAGAGCTCCTTTTACTTAGCTTAAAAAAAAATTCACTGCCATCGACTCGATTGTGACTCATAGTGACCCCTCCTTGGGTTTCCTAGGTGGTATCTCTATAGAGGTAGATTGCCCAGTCTTCCTTCCAAGGAGTGGCTGCTGGGTTTGAACCACCAGCCTTCTTGTTAGCAGTCAAATGACTTAGTTAGTACGTCACCAGAGCTCCTTACCCATTGCCATTGAGTCGGAGCCAACTTATAGAGACCTCTCCTTGGGTTTCCAAGGCAGTATCATTACGGAAGTAGATTGCCCAACCTTCCTTTCGAGGAATGGCTGGCAGGTTTGAACCGCCAGCCTTCTGGTTAGCAGTCAAATGCCTTAGGCACTACGCTACCAGGGCTCCCTTAAGGGGTCCCAAATTCAATAGAGATTTTACTAAATGAAAACAAGCAATCTTATTAAAGTCTCCCAGATCTCCACTTTTTATGTCATGCTTTGGGTGGGTGCGGTGACCTTAGAGAAGCCCCTCCACCATTCTGCTTCAACTCTGAGTGGCACAGAATGCTTCCAGCCATTGTTACTCACCAGGAACCGTCATATTAAAGGTCTGAGGGTGGCAGACAGGTACAACTGGTAAAGAATAATACTTCATTGCTGCAAAAACTCTAACCTATGATTTGATTTCTCTTTGTTTCCATTTATGGCAGAACCTCCATCTTGGCAAGGCATGTAATCTTATCCAAGCTGCACGAAACCTATCCAAAGTATATGAGGTCACATACAAACTGGAAGGTGGAGAAGCTGCAGCAAAGGCCTGTAGTGATTTCAGTCCTGCGTGAAAATACAGCCAAGAGCAGGATGATTGGGGGGTGTCAGAGCATTCTGGGCTTCTCCACCAGCATGGTCACAATAGTCTAGATACTACCACTAAATGCAGCTAGTTTGGTTTTCGTTTGTTTGTCTGTGGACAGATATCGAGCACCCATTGTGTGTCACTAGTGAACCAGGAACTCAATTTCATCAAATAAAGCACAGTCATTGCATGATCCTTGAGTCAGACTTTTTATGATGGGTCCTCCAGGATTGCTTGCGTCAAGGAAGCAGCCAATGTTAAGAGGTCTAGAGGAATTTGAGAGTGTCTTTTCTTAGCAGCTGGCTTAAGCCTAGTAAGTCATCTATTAGAAAAAGTGTCAATATTTTAGATTCAGTTCAAGCCACAAATTAGGGGATGAAAAATTAATCTATTAATAATTTTCCTCTCTGTTCAATGAGAATAGTAATCTTTATTCATTAATTTATAAAAGTATTTATTAACTTACAGAAATATTTTGAGAACAAAATGTGAACCTTTTTCAGCTTCTTGGGAGAAAGGCCATATTGCAATTTAAGCTATTACCTCCAGTATATGTTACTCAGGAAGTATTTATGACTTCCTGTTTCTCCTCAGTTTGCTTGATTCTGAAAGCTATTTGGCCATTTTCCCACTATTTCTCTAAGATGACTTGAAAAGTAGGAGAGGTAAAAATCCAATCTAGATTTCGGCAACACTCCTTTTTACCACCTTTGAATGAGGAATTTAAAATGAATAATGATATCACAGTTTTCTGAAGGATCTGTTCAATTTAATTCTCTGTGCCATTCTCTTCAGTAACATGAGTTAAAGTTAAGTTGACTAACTGGGAAAAAAAAAAAATTAAACTCATTGCCATTGAGTCTATTGCGACTCATAGCAACCTCTCCTTGGGTTTCCAAGGCAGCATCTCTAAGGAGGTAGATTGCCCAATCTTCTTTCCAAGGAGTGGCTGGTAGGTTTGAACTGCCAGCCTTCTAGTTTGCAGTCAAATGCCTTAGGACTATGTCACCAGAGCTCCCAAAGTTAACTGTTGTTAAGTACTGTGGAGTCAGACCTGACTCATAGTGACCCCTCCTTGGGTTTCTGAGGCGATATCACTACGGAAGTGGATTGGCCAACCTTCCTTCTGAGGAGTGGCTGGTGGGTTTGAACTGCCAGCCTTCTGGTTAGCAGTCAAGTGCCTTAGGCACTATGCTACCTGAAAGAAAGTTGACTACCACTTTGTAATTCATTTCTGATCAGACATTAATTTTATTTACATAGGATTATCTAGTTAATTTCATAGAGGCAGGTGTTTTAGATCAAGTAGGCATCATCCTCTCTTACAACAATGGTTACAAACTAAAGGCCTCCCACAAATTTTACCTGCCAGAGAAATTTTGGTAAGCCTACATCATGGAATTTTTGTCTATGAGCCAACATTTTAAGCATGGAAGATTTCACAGAAAAGTTGGATTTCCAGCTTTTTGTCAAATATTTTACGATCTGGCAGCACCAAATCAACTATTTCCTTCTAGCAATAATGGATTGGAATTATCAGTTACCCCTTTAGCTGGCTCTCTAATTTTCCCTTGTTATCACCTGGCCATTTTACATAGTCACATTAGCTGCCTGGTTTTGTTGGCAGTTAAGTTTTAAACGCTGATTCAAAGCAATGTGTGTCAAGGGTCATGAATGTGTGTGTGTGTGTGTGTGTATGTATGTATGAAAAAACTGAGAAATTAATACAGTATTATAATCCTGAATACTTCAACATTTATTACACCCTAAATAAAATCTCCAAAGAAGAAAGACCACATTTGAGCCACTTCCTTGTATCCAACTCCCTCCACTTGGCAAGGTAAAATCGTATCATTTAAGAATCTCAGAACTAAAGAGGGGATTCATAATCATCCAAGCCCTTTCCTAAGAGGCATCTGAGGCCCAGAACTCTTAAGTGACCCACCAGAATAGGTGGTGGCAGAGCCAACATCTTCTAACTGAATGTCTTTGTTCTAGTGAAGTATCCAAAGGTCACCCTGTGTGGAAACCCAGACACACGTGAGCTCAGGAGGTTCTCTAGAACCATGGTCCTAGTTTATGAAATCATGATGTTTGCTGACCTGATATGAAATATGCATGAAAAGCCCTTAAAATGACCTCAAAAATATTAGTCAAAGCATGTGCCCATTTTAAAAGGAAGCTATTCAAGGTGGCTTTATTGAAATTGTTTTGGTGTGATGAGGTATTTATGTACGTAAGGTAAGAACATCTCCCTGTATCCCACTCCCAGTGTATCTGAGGTGACCAGTCACAGTAAAATCAAATGTGAGACCAGAAATGAAAGCATTCAAAAGCTAAAGGACTCACTGGGGTCATGGAAGCACAAAAGAGTAGCGAGAAAAGAGGTCAGAACCAGGTCTATGTGAGCAGAAACCGCCACCTTTGTTCTCCCTCAGCTGTCCCTCAGCTTACAGCCCACACAGACCCCTCAGGCCTCACAATGTCTGAGCACTGTGCTCTCGGTGAGCTGCTCCCCAGCCTGGGAGAAGCACTTACGACTGACTCACTTCTCCTACATGCTCACAAGGGTATCCTACCTCAGCTTTGTAACAAGTTTCTTTCTGCTTTTCTGTGGAAATTATGCTTCTGGTTCCTCCAAACTTTATGCACAGCTGTCTAATTTTTTCCCTCTACCCCAAAGCTGCCAAACTAAAGAAGGTGAGGAACCATTTTCCCTCTCTGGGTTAATGAACACCCTCTCCCCTCCACCCCCTCTTTTGAAGAGTCTACCCTTGCTGCCAAGTTAATCCATCTGTAGAAGAACACTTTGGAGGAAACAGGCTTTAAAAGGGAAAGGGAGCTGCTGTTAGCTCCTGACCTCGTCTCCACAGGAGAGCGAACAGGGGACGGAAGTTGGGGCTGAAGTCATGTGTGCTGTTTGAATGGAATCTGTGTTGTGTTTTTCTGCCTTTTGCCTTGGTTACCTCACATCGAAAGCATCTTCTACCTTCTCCCCCACAACACTACTCCTCCCTTTCAGATGGCCTTCCTCCTCAATTTGAAGTTTTCTCTAATATGATTTCTGAGAAGTACTTTGGAAAAAGTATTACAGAGCTCTGCCAGTGGGACATTACTTCATTAGCCATAAAAATCAAACATAAAAGGCTATATGGGGACCCCCGCTCAGACCATGTAACCCACATCCCATTGCCACCATGCTGACCATATAAAACATGTACTAATAGTGGGTGTGGGGTCCTTCCTAAGGAAAACTATCATGATGACCCTCTGGGATTGGGCTTTATCTTTTTTTTTTTTTTTTTTTTTTTTTTGTAGAGGCCCGTCTTTTGCTACACTGCATTTCCAGGAGTCCAGCCTTTGGAAGCTTTCTCTATATTTTGCTTATTGACTTATTTAACAAAGATTAATTGAGCTCCTACTATGAGCCAGACACTTTGTTAGCTGCTAGCAATATAATCATGAGCAAAAAACAGTTAAGAGCCCTGTCATCAGAGAGGATGCAACTTATTAAAAATACTACTAAGGGTCTGGGTTCTTTTGTTTTATTGCTGTTATTAAAACAAATAAGCAAAACGTCTCTGGGATATTTAGTATTAGAAGAAAAATGTTTATCTAAAGGAAAAAGACAAGTGGGGAGCATTTGCCAGATGTAATTATAATTCATGAGAATGACCTGAACATTTTCATCTCTGTTAAAACAAAACATCATTGACTTCACCCCAGACAACAGGCAGAGGTCTTCCAGTCCCGTAGATACAGGTATTCCAAGACAGGAAACATAGCTTTACCAGGACTGGGTTAAATAAAGAGAGAACTTAAGTTTAAGGATAAATGGCTATGGAAATAAATACTTCTTGTAGCTAACAAGCCTTCTATGAACTTAAAAATAAGAGACTTCTTGGCTTTTGAAAACACAGAACCCTTGCCTTGAGAAGGGACAGTAAAATAGAAGAAATGAGGTCTGTTTGAAATACATCAGCTGCACACTTCCTCTTGCTAGAAGCTAGATAAAAGGCAATTTAGTTGGCATTTCTGTCCAAACTCAGCAAGTCAAGAATGAACTTGATTCCCTCACTCCAAGAAATGATGGGAGCTGGGTGTGTCCCAAAGATACTGTGATCCAGTTCTGGGAAAGGGTGGGGAGAGAGGCCACTGAGGAAGCTTCTGAAGAAAGTTGTAACTGTCTTTCGTAGCTATGAGAAAAATAAAGGAATGGGTGCAGAAGGGCAGATGAGGAGAAGTACGGGGAGATGAGATTTTTCAAAAATGAACTTCGGTAAACCCACTCACAGCTTAATCTGATGCTCAAATAAAGCACTTTGCCTGTATTTCCAGGTATGGAAGAAGAAAAAGAGAAGCCTAAATTGGAATGAGATCTAAGTCCAAATGGAGGAACTGGATTGAGTCACCAATGAAGACTTGTTAACACCTGGGCATTGGCAGTGCTGGAGAGAAGCTTTAAAGAACACAGTTCCATCAGCCTCCCCCTTCCTGTCTCTTCCCCCAAAGGAAGGAGTATGAAAATATATATATATATATATATATATATATATACATATATATATATACACACACACACACACACATTTGAAAAAATATATATGTATAGATGTCAGTTGTTTCCAAAATAACTTGCCCTCATTGTATTTTAAAGAATTCTCTACAAATTCATTATTGACAGCAACTTTTTTTCACTTTTTGAGTTTCTAAAACTAAAATTGATCTTTGGATTTTAATTTTTGCAATTGTAACTCCATTTAATCAAGGAAGAATAAAATTATACTGTGTTTCTTATTCAGAAATTCATTCAAATCAAAGGAGCAGATATGGAACAAGATGTTAATGTATTTAGTCTTAAAGATGACTCTAATAATGTATCTAGGCCACAGTGTAAGTCTGAGAGAAAACATGCTTGTTTTTCCTCTTGCAATAATGTCACAGTTGCCTCAAACAGTCAATATTAGTAATAATTACATCAGTTTAGTCAAAACTCTGAGCGTATTTGGATCTCATGATTTAACCTTGTGAAACTTTTCCCAGATGCAAACTACAACTTTAATAAAGACAAACCAGCCCTTACTCTGATATCTGCATGGTGCATCTCAAAGTCCTAATAGCACTGGTGTTTCCATTCTTATTTTATTTCTATTACTTGTTGAAGATGGTTTACTAGCTTGATTCATTCCTATAATTTCCTGATTTTAGAAATGTGTATCTTTATGATCATCCATAAAGTATAATTTTTAAAAAAGAAGTCAATTTACAAAGTTTGAGAAGAATTCTACTTAAAGTAGAAAATAGGATCTTACTTAAATCATAGTATTAGTTAATATAAATATGGGTGTTGATTGTCCATGCTAATGGAGATCAAATGATAACTGCAAAATTTTTGTTAAATTTTAATTGGTAATGTAATTTGAGAAACACTGAAAATCTCTCCCTCTTTTTCTTTCTCTGTCTCACACTCACACACACACACACACACACACACACTCCTATGGACATGTACATACATTCTCTTTCTCTCTTTCTTCTTTCTTGTCTATATCCTGTATTCCTAAATCAGTCTGATTGTTCCCATTGGTCATTGCCAAGGGCCCAGTACACACCTGAAGTGAGCAGTTGCTAGACTGCTCCTGAGAATTTTTTTTTTGAACAGATAATTAAAAATAAACGTAATTATCTAAGTGTGTGTATACTTCACAGTACAGATACAATTTTTTTTATTGCAACTTAAAAGAGAACATTTCCATTAATAAATGTGATTATGTAGACAACGCAACATATATCATAAAATAATATGGAAGAACTACAGTCAGATATATCAATCATATCAATAAATATAAATGGGTTAAATTCACATATTGAAAGAAAAATCTTTTCAGATTGGATTCCAAAAGAAAACTGAACTCTACGCTATATATTCCAAAAACACATATCCACAAAATGAAGTAATTTCCTAAGATTGAAAACAAGATAGGCCAAAGAACACCTGAGATTTTTAAACAAAGAGAAACAAAGGTCATAATTTTTAATATGAGACAGTGTGAGACTCAGGCCCAAGTTCATTTCTTGGTGATCCCTCTCCCTAAAGTCACATGCCCAATTTCTGAAAGCTTAGATAAATATATAATGCATCTGGTAGAATCTCCACATTGGCTTCCTAACTCATGAAGTTACTACTCTTATGTAGGAAAGTTCAAGCAGAAACCTACCAAAACAGAAAAGTAAAAGTAATACATCTTTAGAATAACTTCTGCAACTGGTGCCACTATCAAAGACTTACAGAATGCAGAATTGGTGATCCCCATCACAACTAAATTTAACTTATTATTTGGATTGAATGTAAAAGATTTATGAATTTGGAGAATGAAAATGAGTTACAGCATACTTAATCAGGAAGTGACTCCACCTGTACCTGCCCTTCCAGAAGAGTCCCTTGTTCCAGAAGTAAATCAATACAGTACCTGGTACATAGTATGAAGCTATTGATCTTGGGGGTGGAGTGGGGAGGAGGGTGGACTCCCTCTACCTTGCAAGAAAAGCAGTATGCCTACACTATCTTTTCACAATGCTATTTCAGTTTTGGCTTTATATCATAATTTAGTCCACAGCAACTTTAATTGTCTCATCATTCCATAAGATGTCAAGCTTCTACTACCCTGATTATATCATACTGCTTGAGCTAATGAGTGTTGTTGTTGTTGTTATGTGCCGTCGAGTCAAACCCGACTCATAGCGACCCCTCCTTGGGTTTCCGAGGCAGTATCACTACGGAAGTAGGATTGCCCAACCTACCTTCCGAGGAGTGGCTGGTGGGTTTGAACCGCCAGCCGTCTGGTTAGCAGGCAAGTGTCTTAGCCACTATGCTATCAGAGCTAATGAGTAGGATATAGCAAATGCCTTAAATGTATTGTTAAGGCATATGTATGCCGAAGAACAATAGATAAATGACAGCAGTAATAATAATAAGGGCCCTGCTACCTGTATGAAGTTTTGATTGCCAGTGACCTGAGACATGTCAATATACTGTATTTTTTGCATATAATATCCCCCATGAATAATGTGCACATTCATGTAATGTGCATTGTACATATAGGAAACTAACACAAGGAAGTTGTGCAGTTTGCAAAAAATATATATCATACACATGTTATTTGTATAAAAATACAGTACATCCTCTGAAGTGCAAATGGAGCCCCTGGGTGGCATGAACAGTTAAGTACTTGACTACTGGCTGAAATGTTGATGGTTGAAACCCACCCAGAAGTGCCTGAGCAGACAGGTTTGGCAATCTGCTTCCAAAAGGTCACAGCGCTGAAAACCCTATGGAGCAGTTCCACTCTACATATGCCATGAGTCAGGATCCATTCGACTGGAACTAAGAAGAGGAAGATGAAATGTACTGTGCATGCCTTCCTACTTAGAAAGAGGCACATTACATGATGTGACTGATTGGATTTTGGAGGAAACATATCAAGTTGAAAGTATTCTTATCCCTATCACAATTAGGGAAAAAGAAATAAATTAGAGCTACAAAAATTAGAAAAGGTAAAACTATCACAATTTGTAGATGATAAGATTTTAAATAACAAAAAATATCTGTTGCAATTATCTATCACTCACTGCCTGCTGTCGAGTTGGATCTGATTCAAAGCCACCCCTCCTTGGTTTTCTGAGGCGGTATCACTATAGAAGTAGATTGCCCAATCTTCCTTCCTAGGAGTGGTGGGTCAAATGCCTTAGGCCCTTCATTCACCACCAGAAACCTAGTGACTTAAAACAGCAACATTTATTTTGCTAGTGAACCTACAATTTAAGTTGGATTTGGTAGAGTTCGTCTCAGCTCCACCCAATATCTGTTGGAATGACTGGAAGTCATCTGAAGGCTCTCTCACTTTCATGCCCAGTTGACTGATGGTGCCTGTTGACTGAGAACTCAACTGAGGCTGTGACCAGAACAACTATACATGGTCTCTCTATGTGGCTGCTTGCTTTGTCACAACATGGTGACTGGGTCTGAGCAGGCCCAGGTAAAAAGTGTACTGCTTTATCTGACTTAGCTTCAGAAAGTACATAGTGTTACTTCTGTAATCACAGACCCACTCAGATCCAAGGGATGAAAATTTAGACTCACACCTTTATGCTATTGTTGTTGTTGTTATGTGCTGTCGAGTCCGACCCAACTCATAGCAACCCCTCCTTGGGTTTCCGAAGCAGTATCACTATGGAAGTAGATTGTCCAACCTTCCTTCCGAGGAGTGGCTGGTGGGTTTGAACCTCCAGCCTTCTGGTTAGCAGTTAAGTAAGTGTCTTAGGTATTCTGCTACCAGAGCTCCCCACATCTTTATGGAGGAGTATTAATGTCATAAGGTAAGAAGAACATATGAAATTAGGATATATTGGTGATAGATTTGTTGCCAGAGTTGGAAAATACAATCTGTTGTACATATCCAGAGTAATCAACTAAAAAAATTACTGTAACATTAAGATAATTTAGTAAGATATCAGGGTATAAAATTAATGTATATAGATGCACAGTTTTCATATATACAAGATGTAATGGAAGGGAAGACTTCATTTGCAATAACAATAAAAAATTAAATTAAGGAAACAAATTACAAATTCAGCACAAGTAGAAAATACACCCAAATAAAGCTTAGAAAAATATAAGAAACTAATGAAATTAAAAGCAGAATTAATAAGCAGCAGACAAAACAGTGGAACCGATAAATAATTGATGAATAAATAAGAATCTAATTCTATACAAATATCAATAAATTATATAACCTGACATGAATTAAAAAGAGTTCTTCTATAGAATCTGTGATCAAAATGTTCAGTAATGATAGCTGGGCACTATCCAGTTCTTCTGGTCGCATATCAAAGGAGACAGTTGTTCATGGAGGCAATTAGTCACACATTTCAATACCTCCCCCTATTCCTGACTCTCTTTCCTCCTCTGTTCTGTTGGATGGCCACTTTCCAGCTTTTAAGGTCTCAGACACTACATAATAAGCTAGGAGGTTGAACAGAAGCTAATTGAGATATCCCATGAAGCAGTGACCCTAAACCTCCAAACTAAGAAACCAAATCCCATAAGGTATTTGGTGGTAATGATCAAAAGAGGCAAAATTTGAAAGAGAGAATTTCAAATTCTCATGGATGACAAATTTTCTGAAGCCACAGATGCTGGATGAACCCTCTAAACTATTGCCCTGAAATCATCTTTAAACCTTAAACCAAAAACATCACTTGGCATTCTCTTAAAACAAGATAGTTTAGCTTGACTAGTAAAAAAATGTCTGCCTGTGGTGGAACCACTGAGACACCTGCCCTTCAGGCCTGGAATTGAACCTACACCTGTGGCTTC